GCTTGAGATGCACCTTTGGATGCATGACAAGGTATGGCTGGCCTTGCTGGCTGCGGTCAGGCATTGGCGGCTCATGTTCATCTTGGAGTCAATAATGACTCCGAGATCCCTTTCCGCCTCTGTGCTTTCAAGAGGGGAACTCCCCAGCCTGTATGTATGCTGTGGATTCCTTCTCCCAAGGTGCAGCACCCTGCATTTGTCTACATTATCAGCCTAGATCTAGCTTTCCAACAACGAATTACTAGAGTGTATATTAAATAGGCAGATTCATCAGCTTGGGTTCTGTCAATATAGGTGCACTGGATACATGCTTTCATACTTTTGATCCCCATTTTAGATCACCAGAAAACTCCTTCTAGACCTCTAGGACTGCTTGTGTCTTGAGCTGAGGAGTTGCTTGCTTTGCTTTTTATCCCACCAGGCTATCCAGTCAATCCCTACAGAGGACCAGCAAGAAGCAGCCCTGGCACAACTCAATAAGGCAGCATTGGAGCTTTGTATGGAACAGAAGCCAGCTCAGTCAGATCTCCTCTACCAAATGTGGTAGGTTACCATCACAGAGAAAAGCCTTACAGACACCCTCATTTAGGCAGTTGCTCTGGCCAACTCCAAAAAGAGATTTCATATTTATTCCATCTAGGGATCAGATAACTATCTCCAGCAGTCTTTTTTTTTTTTTTTTTAAAGTTGAGGTGGAGCAGCTGTCCAAGTGCTAGATGCCATTTTACCCTTGGTAGAAATCAGAGCACTGATCTCTTGCACTGTGGGGAATGCCAGAGATCCCTGTTCTCCAGGACTGTTTGCTGCCAAAGTCCTGGTTTACATTTATGAGGACCTCCTGAGGCCTGCCTAAAGTCTCCATCCCGGATATCAGTGCCAGCTGAGACTTGTCTGGGCAGCAAGTAGAAACATTCCTGACAAAAGAAGGCAGCAGCTTCCAGATATGTATGAGTCTGATCCACACTGATTCACCAAAGTGGATGTGTCTGGAAGAAGAAGGGATCTAATTTCACAGTAAAACTTTATGTTGTCAGGCCTTGTGTTTTAATAACCTGCAATAGCTCTTGTTTAGTAGCAAAGCGCTCACATTCGTTGTTTTGGGGCAGAACAACACAGGAGGGGAAACGAAACCCCTCGTTACCCTTGTCCGTCTATGCCAAGGTGCATACGATTGCTGTCCCTCACATCTTCTGTCCAGGGCTAATCCTGATACCTTTGTTCTCAGTCTTCAGCTGTGGCGCGAAGCAATTGATGGTCTGGTGAGCCACTCTCTGATGCTGAGATCGCTGCTGGGCATGCCCGAGAAGGACCCTTATGTAGAAATCGTTCCAGAGGAAACAGGTACCTTAGCACAGCAGCCTAGAAGGCCTTGCAACAAGAGCTCCTGTGCCTTGGAAGATCATAAATGGATTTCAGTACCATTTAGCATCAGGCAACTTTACTGAACTTTACCTGATATGACTTTTTGAGCAATTTCCCCTTTGAGCCCCTTGCGATAGAATGTGTTAGAAAAATTACTGATGCTGTTCTGGTGTCAGAAAGGGATAGCATCTGTTGGCTTAGTGGGATGACAATCCTTGTAGGGTTTTGGCATGTTTCTCACACCACTAATAATGTCATGTTACCTTAGAGGCTGGAATAGCATTTGACAGGGACCGTTTAGGACAGTGGCGCTCAGCCTTTTGGCCCCAGGGGCCTGGTCTTCGGGCTGAATTGGACCCCATGCACCAGGATCAGGCCTACATGCCTGGCTTGGGCCCTGTGTCTTGGTGGCCCCCATGCACTACGATAGGGCCCCGGGCCCTGCACCATCCCCACATGCAGGGATGGAGCTTCATGCCACCCCTGTGCACTGGGCACACTGGGATTGGATCCTGCGCCAGCCTAGCCCACAGAGTCACAACCTGTGGGATTCTCCATGGGGTGCCCAATGGCCCGGGTGACGTGGCTCCGGGGGCTGGATCTAGCTCACAGGCCAAGGTTTCAGCACTCCTGATTTAGGAATAATGCATCCTGCATTTGTGCAGAGGGTAGGGTTGCATGATCCTCCAGGCCCCTTCCAACTCTGCAGTTTTACAGTGCTATGTCATTATTGATTTTATGTGACATATCTATCACTTGTTCTGTCCTTAAGCCTCAGGGAGCTGGAAAGGGAAGGTACATTGTGGTGCATTGCATTTAGACTGCCGAGACGCCCTGGATATGTGACTTTGTACAGGGTATGGAAGCACTGCCCTAGCATTATTGGAATTGTTTGCTTTGCAGTGGACTCAAAGCAAATTGTAAAAGGAGGAAAGGAGGAGCGGAAAATCTATCTGAAAGAAGAGAAGAAGACAGCTGGTGGGAAGGAAAAAGAGGAGAAAAAAGGAACAGCAAAGTTAACAGGAAAAGATAAGGAGGTATGTAGTAGGGTGCATCATGGAAATTGAAGAACTAGGTCCTGGAAGACTACACAAGCCATCACAAGGATGTGCACTTTGAGGTTGTGTACCACCATGTTCAGGCGAAGACCTGATTCCTTCTCTCTATGAAAGAGCTGCCATTTTTCATATGCAGCTTGCTTTGCCCTTTAGGGGTCTGTGATCCCTCCTTTGACTTTTCTTTCTGTGAGCAGGAGAGGCCAAACAGCAGGAAATTAAAAGGGGATAAAAGATTTAAAACTTCCAGTTTTGTACGGGAGGCGAAAGAACTGATCTTACCAGTGGACACTGTTGATTCAGAGCATGCACTACCTCGCCAGGAACAAGTGGACCCCACCGTACTTGAGAAATACCATGAAAAGCTTTATGTTGGAGTGAGTTTAGCCAGCCCCTTACCTATTCTCTTTCTCTTTCCATCCCCTTTTTTGGTCATGTCTCCCTAGTTGCTTTCATTTTGGCCCATCCCCTCTGCTTATAAGCTTCAAATGAAGCTAAATAGAGAAATGAGCATTTGGCCAGATGGACAAGATTTCTTTGCAGAGTTTCATTGCAAAGGTTGTTGTCTTTGTTTTCTTTTTTAGGTGTACAGCCTACTAGGTTCGATGGTGAGCACCATGGCTTCTCTAATGGAGGAGCTCCTGAAAAAAGGATGCCTAGAAGCAGGAGATTGACACATTTTCTTTCTAAAAAAAACATTACTGATGTTCTCTTTAAAGGAATAAATGTCCATGTTTATACTGACCTAGTGTATCTTTCTTTTCTTTCCAAAATGAGAAGGGATTAAAAACCTCGACTTGGATTCCTTTCTTCTGACATCCTGCCACTGGAGACTTCAGGGAGACTGTTCACAGATTACCTATTTTTTCCGTGAAAGATCATTGATTAAGGAGAGGTCAGTGCACTGAGGTGTACTGTAGTCTCAGATAGTTGAAACTAAAGGAAAATGATATGTTTCTACCTAGGGAAGGGAGTTTAAAAGAGCCTTTCAATAAAAGCATGTCACCATCTTTTGTTTCTCATTAGGTCCTTGTCATGTCCCCTTTTTTCCCTTTGCTTGTCTGTGTTTCCCTTTCCATGTTGATCTTGGTATACATACCTCTCGGGCTGTGTTAGTGTATTAGTGTTTCTCTCTGAGCTAAGTCTTGTTTGATTTACGCTCAGGACTAGTCATGCTGCTGTCGAAACAAGTGGAAATGATCCATGAGACTTTAGTTTCTCTTCTGTCTCTATCAGCCTTTCTTCCTGCATGTTGGCTTGCTCCTTGCATATGTACCGGGGCCTCCTCTGTCTGAATGTCCTGATGTCTCTTGGGACAGCATCCTTTGGTGGAAACTTATCAGTTCTTAACACCACACTCCCAGCATTTGGTGTTGCCTCGAGGCAAGTTTTCAAAAATGGAAAGAGCGGAGATGCAGTATCTGACTTAACTTGGCACCTCATTTCAGCAAAGTGCATTTTTCCTGCTGGAGCAGCTGGACTCCGCTGCAGACAGGCTTGGCACTATCAAGAAATTACATCAATATAGATATTAATTTACATTTTCAATGCACTTTGAGTTTCCTGGATGGAATATACTCTGTAAATGCAAAAAGTGGCTGCTATGTTGTATGTACGCACCTACAATAACACCCCTTACTATCTGAGATGTTTATTGTGTTTGACTAAATTCCTCTTCTGGCATTCAGACCTATTAACATGGTACCAGACTCAGATTGGCTCCAGCAGCCCTGGGGTAGCTTACTGGATTGCTTTTATCCATTTTACCCTGAGATAGGACCTGTGGATCCATGGGTCAGGTCAGATTGGGATGGCCCAGTGTCATGTGCCTGTTACTAGCTCTGAGTCTGCTGTCAAAGCTTCCACCCTCTGTGTTTCATACAGTTGTGGTGATGGAGGGATGGATTACCCATAACAGGGGCAAGCAATTATTTCAGGCAGAGGGCCGCTTACTGAGTTTTGGCAAGCCATTGAGGGCCGCATGATGGGCAGTCAGGGGCAGATAAATATTAATTTTCTAAATTTTTTAGGGGCCCCATGGGCCGGATAGAATGGCTTGGCGGGCGGCCCCCGGGCCACATTTTGCCCACCCCGACCCATAAGATCATCTCTGCATACAGGGTACATCTGTTAAGAAAAACATCAGGGATATTGGGAGGGGAGGAGAGAAAGGAAAGCCTATCACTGATTAAAATAAAAGGCAGAGGCCAGGAGAGAGGAGGTGGCAATGATGACAGCAAGAGACCTGACTTATTTGCTAATGTCATCTGAATCCTCACCCCCCCAAGCCAGACGCTGTAGCTCTCCGGGGAAGGGGGGAGTATCCATCATCCAAATTTAGATCCCGTCAAATCTTAACGCACACAATTGAAAAGCAGCTTGGTGTCACTGAGGCTGCGTTTCAATGGGGCAGAGAAGCCTGCAGCCCCGGATGATGCTGGAGTGCAAGTTAAAAATAAAACTGCAAGTGGCTGGAAACCACAGGAGACAGTGGCTGAGCCCGCACTGTCTGCAACATCTTTGTCCCTTCCGAGGGATCTCTCTGTCCTTTCCCAATGGCAGGCAGAGACGAGAGGGTTAAAGGGAGCAGCTGAGCCTGCTGCTGGTCCCCTCCTGGGCTTTGGAGGGGTTGCCATTGCTGGGATGAAGGGGAGCGTGAGGCTTTGTAAAAAGCCATGGGCCTGAAGGAGTTAACGAGAGCAGCCAATTCCTCCCCTGTCGTGTCCTGTTCGTGCTGAGACAGACCTGCCCAGCCAGCTGAACAACTTTCACACCCAGAGCTGGAAGATTTCTGCCTGGCTCAAGGAATCGCTCTCCAGTCTGCTTCCAGCCCCTTCCCCTGGACCCTGCGGGGAGCAGCCCGCCGGGGCTGGAGCCCTGCTTGCATTGGATGGATTTAGGAGCTCTGGGCTTGAACCTGCAGCACCTAAGCCCGGACAGTCCTCTGCGGGGAACAGAGCTGTCTCCCGTGCAAGGGCGGACTGACTGCTGAACACCATCTGCCTCTCGCGCTGCAGAGGGGGAGCTGCTCGCACAGCCACGCAGGGAGGGAGCCAGCACCAGAGGTAGGAATCCCTGTCCTCGCCCTGCACTGCTGCGCTGGGATGCCTGGTGACAGCTGCCTGGTACAGGAGCCGCTCCGTGATGCCCGTGGAGGTAGAGGAGGGGGCGAGGCGGGTGGGGAGGAAAGTTCTGGAGGCTGGAGCATCTCAGGCTGCAGTGAAGCGCGCTCTGATTCCCGGCACTAGTTTGGCAGAGCTGTAGGATTCGTTTCCCGGGCCCTGGCCTGCCTGCAGTGCACGGCCTGGAGCTTCCTTGGGGATGGCGGAGGTGGGGGACCCCCTGCCCTGCTCCCCCGCACAGGCAGGTGGGGGTGCAGGGTGCCTGTGCCCCAAGGGATAGGTGCCAAGGGTGCTCCTGGCTCTTTAGACCCAAGCCTTCACTGTGTTGGCACCGTCCCCGGTGTCCCTGTGGTCATGGGAGCGGTGCTGGCATGGCCATTCAGTGCAGAGTCCTCAGGTGATCTGGTTTCAGCTCAGGGTGCCTGCCCTGGGTCACCCTGTGTTTGCCCCTCCGGCCATGCCCCATCCAGGGCAGGAGAGCAGCCGGGCATCCTGTCAGGGGCGCGGGCAGGGAAGAAAATCGAAGTGGATTATGTAACGCCCACTGCCACGGCAGGTCTGAATGGCGGCGCGGGCAGCCGAGGGGGTAAGTGTGTGCTTTGCATGTGCCCGCGTGTCGTTTTGTGAACAGTATAATTGATTTTGACACCGGGAAGGCTTTTGCTAAGAACCTCTGGGGTTGTCTGGGCTCTCGGGAAATGTCATGGGGGGGGTCTCACAGCCAAGCCCCGCACTGAACCTCCCACCCCACTTTCTCTCTCTCTCCCTCCTCATCTTTTCATCTCTTTTGATCTTCGTCAAATCTGAAGGGAGCCCAAGCCCTTCCCAGTCTCTGGGGCCTGTTCTGGCCCCCGGCACACAGGGGAAGAGACGGGAAAGCGGGCAGGCAGTGGCAGGGCCTTCCAGGACCCCACCGTGTGTTTGTTTGCAAGGTCCGTGGATACGGGGCAGCGAGAGCCTTTGCCAAGCGCTGGCTTCTCACGGCATGGTCCGGGTCGCTGCATGAATTTTACTGCCTCCTCTTTCGGCTCATGCATTGCTCTCCCTTGCGGGGAGGGCCCTGTGTCCGACTGAAGTTTAAAGGAGTCTTTCTCCATATCCCTTTTCCACCTGTCTCTCCCACCCTCACTGTGGCGGCCTCTTCCTTTTCCTACCTCTCCCTCTTTCCACTTCTCTTTCTCAGCCTCCCTTCCCTGCTCTTTCCTACCTCTTCCCCTATCATTTTTTGTCTGTCCTCATCTCTGCTTTGTTCCAGCCCCTTCTCTTTTGCTTTCCCAGTCCCCTTCTGGCCCCCTGCGTGGAGATCATCGAGGTGCCCTAGGTGGTGGCCACCATGCCCTTCTGCTCGATGCTGAGTCTCCGCGTGTCCTTCTCCCCACCTGACAGCTTTTTGCTCAAGGTCACTGCAGTAATTCCATATGAGGCTGCCTGGTGCTGCTGCCTTATCTACTGCGTGGTTTCTGTTTCACTCCCTTTATATTCCTGGAGATATTGTGTTCAATCAAACTCGCTGCTTTTAACACCGCTGGCAGCCTTCCAGGCACACACGCGCTGCCTTCCTCCCCCACACCACCACCCCCTGTTTGGCATTTCTTTTTCCTTCCCTTTGCTCTGTACTTTATAAAACACCAAAAACTTTCCAGGAAGTTTCGAAAGCAGGTGAGATCCAGCCACAGCTCTGTGTCCGCGCTGGCTGGGGACAATCGGACCTGTCACGTGCAGCCTGCTGGTCCTTGGCGTTGGGGGAGCGTGCAGGCAGGGGGCTTTCTCCCCCGAGGGAACCCGCTGCGAGCTAGAAAACAATGTCCCGAGCAGAGGGAGAAGTTAATCCATGCCAGGCTGCTGTTTGCAGCAGGGACGGTGGCACCTTTTCGAAGGTGGAACTTTATCAATGACCTTGTAGCTCTCGGAGAGGAGACTGCTGATCTGAGCCCTGAAGGGTATTGATAAAGCAAAGTCCTTGCTTTTAAGCAGTGAGGAATAAATGCTCTAACCCCCCCCCAAAAACCTCCCCGCCCCCCAGCACTGCTATCCCTGATTGCAGTCATTTTACTGGCATGTAGTTGCACTCAGATCTAAAGCCAGTAAATGGGCTGCATCACGAAAGGAAATCAATACGAGGAAGCTTCTTTAAAGAAACTTCTTTGGCCTTGAGAGTACCGTCTTTCCAGACTTCTCCCCCTCTGACTTCCCACAGTGGTTGGGGAGTGATGTGGCCTTTCCTTCAGCAAGAGCCATGGAGAATGGCCAAGGCCACAAGAAGGGCCAAAGCCACGTCCTGATAAGCGAAGGGCCTGTGCACACTGGAGGTGTCTCCAAGCAATGACGGCACACGACTGGTTTTGCTGGTTTGGATGGTGTGTGATGGGAGCCACACGTGTTTCATGGGCGTGTTCATGCAAGTGTGCGTTCAGCCCCGATTCAGTCATGAAGAAAATGAGGTTTGTAAGCGGAGGTTGTTTCTGAGTCACTTTGGGAGGTGAGGGATGAAACCTGATGTAGCAAGCAGAGCGTAGGGAGGGCCACCTCCCTGCAGTTACCTTTAAGGATGCAAAGCCCGGAAGCTGAAACCATCGTGCCAGCTGAGGGGTGTGGAGTGCAAACTCACCACCCCTTTGCCTTCAGTGTGGCTCTGGGTCTCCATCGTCGCAAGCTGGGTCTGGATTTCCCCTTTGGGTCAGTATCTCAAACATGGTGATTTCCCAGAGTACAGCGGCTGGATGGGGAAGCAAAGGAAGAAGACATGAAAAGCGGGTAGTTTAGGAAGAGAGGCCTGGTGTGGGCACAAGAGGATCCTGGAGTAACCTTGGGATTGAATTTTG